ATTTTTGCTTTAAAATTTGATCTGATCCTTCCATTTTATCAATTTAAAGACCTAGATTAGTTCTTATTATTCACCTAGGGATCACTTTTTATCTGAACCAATCCCTATATATATATATATTACGAGGGAGGTTCAAATACAAAGTAAAGTACTAGTTATATGAAAAATGAGAAGTAATCTTAGCTGTTAAAATGAGAAAATGAATGAACCAGATCAATTTTAAAGTTGAAAATTCGGTGCCAATAGTGTAAATATTAGAAAATTTGGTGCCAATAGTGTAAATGATAAATGTGCATGACTATGGAGAAAAAGTGCATTGGAGTAACACAAAAGTGCATCACTATTCGGGGAGAAAAACAACAAGTATAGAAATCGTTTATGTTATTTTTTTAGAAGGTGGATATGCACTCTTACATATGGCATATGCACTTTTACTGTTAGGTATTACACATTTTAGTTCACCGTATGTTTTGATCTATTCCATCCATTTTTAAGTAATCAAGGGCTTATGTCACTTCTCATTTTTTATGGGAAGACCTCTTTGTATTAGAACTCACCCGTATATATTACATACGTAGTATATATCAAACCACTATATATATATATATCATCTTTATTGAGTGTGATTGTGGTTTTGGTATGTTGGGTGAAGTTGTGCGGAGGGAGTGGTGTGGGAATATATGAGCTAAAGAATGGGGAGATGTCGGTGAACATTACCAACTACGGCGCCACTCTTCTCTTACTCTCCTACAAGAGTCCCGACGGAGAACAAGGATTTCCTGGTGATGTGAATGTGAGTGTGAGATACATGCTACTGGGCAAGAACAAGCTAGGCATAAGGATGAAAGCCAAGGCTGTGAACAAGGAAACCCCTGTGAATTTAGCCTCACACTCCTACTGGAACCTTGTTGGCCATACCAGCGGAGACATCTTGTCCCACACCATCCAGATCTTCGGGTCCAACATCACACCCGTAAATGACGATCTCATCCCCATGGGGGCCATCCAACCCGTGTGATGGAATATATGGCCCAGGAACCCCCGGTCCATAGACTCCCACTATTCTAATACAGGCCCAGGAAGCACAACAGGCCCAAGTCACTACAGGAGGCCCACGCAGCCGCCTTCGGTCCCATGGCCGAAGGCCCCAAAATCTCACAGAACAACTGTTTTGGGCTTACGAAGCTACTGGGAGAAAACGGCGAAAACAGTAGCCCTCGGCACCTAGAGCCCTCGGCACGTAGAGGCCCCGAGGATGAAGAGCCTTCGGCTAATCATTTACGGCCGAAGGCATCTCCTCGACAGAATCTCCCACCCACATGCACTGGATCGACATACCGAGTACAAACGTCACATCTAACCACCGTATTTAATGCAGCCACATGCGAGTGCCAGTGTCACCCCGTTGAGGTGACCCCTCGACCACCAGAATGATGGCACGTGTCCCTATCTAGCATTTATTGCTGCTATAAATAGCACTCCTTTCCCCATTTGTAATCCACGCTCAATACGCTGAATACGCTCATTATCAATATACACTCTCTCTACTTTTGCTCTGACTTCTCTCTAGTTACTCCCCGCAGTAACCCCTCAGATAGATACCCCCCGGGTATACTTATCCATCACCGTGAAAGGGACACCGTATGATTTCTTCCAACCCCTCAGCGAGTTGAGCCGACTCCCAGGAGGATACGACATCAACTACGTGCTGGATGGCGTGAAAGGAATGCCGCCGCGCCACCTGCACAGGGTGGCTGTGGTGGGTGAGCGCCAGTCGGGTGGGAAAATGGAGTTGTGGACCAATAAGCCCGGGGTGCAATTTTACACACGCAATATGCTGAATGATACGGCGGGGAAAGGCGGGTTTGTGTATCGAAAATATGCTGGGTTGTGTTTGGAGACGCATGGTTTTCCAGACTTCGTCAACCATCCAAATTTCCCTTCGCAGGTTTTAAATCCGGGGGAGACTTATGATCATGTCATGGTTTATAGGTTCACTGCGCACCCCATAAGCTATGGGCGGAAGGGTGCATTTTGATCCATCTGAGCAGCCGCGTTTAATACCTAAGTTAATAAATTAGAACTTTTGTAGCTTTTTCCATAGAGTCATGCATCGTTTTTTATACTTTAGAAAAAGGTCAGATAGGGTCTCGAACTTACAAAAAAATGTCAAATAAGACCTTATATAGAAGGTTCTGTCCGACCGGCTCCATTTGGGGCGGTTCCTGATGGAATTTTCGATGAAATTTTGTGAGCATTTTATTTATTAAGTCTAGTTTACTCATACCAAATTCCAGCTAAAAATTCAATCGGGAAGGCATTCAAATAAATTCTTGAAGATAACTGCGCTTTTAACTGCGCACTTATCTTCAAGAATTTATTTGAATGCCTTCCCGATTGAAGTTTTAGCTGAAAATTGGTATGAGTAAACTAGACTTAATGAACAAGATGCTCAAAAAGTTTCATTGAAAAAGTCCATTGGGAACCGCCCAAAATGGCATCGACCGAACATAACCTCCTATATAAGGCCTTATTTGACACTTTTTTCTAAGTTTGAGACCATATTTGACCCTTTTCCCGATATATATATATATTACATATAGGGGTGAGATCACATACAAACCATGTTTAACTTACTAACCTACAAACTCAATAATATGCAACACTTTGAACTTCAATATGCAGCACAAATAATGTAAAGATGCACTCTTTGAATTTTGATATGCAATACAAATAATGCAAATATGAAACTGCTATTTTATGACTTGAATAATATAAAACACTTTGAACTTCAATGTGTAATACAAATAATGTAAAGATAATTTGAATGGGAAGACTAGTTTGTATGTGATCCTACCCCTACATCTTTACATTATATTTACTGCATATTGAAGTTCAAAGTGATGCATATTATTGAGTTTGTAGGTTAGTATTTTAAGCATGATTTGTATTTGATCTCTTATCATCACACATAGGTTTTGGTTCAAATAAGAACATGATCTTATGAGAGAAATGAGAACGAACCTGGACCGTTAGATTTACTTTAAGTGAAATTCAATGTGCATTAGATGAAACAGTAATGTGCATTAGGTGAAATTGAAATGTGCAACACAAAGCGTATGATACAATGTCATTAAGTGAAGTTGAATTGTGCATTATGTGAAATTGAAATGTGCAACAGGTGAAACTGAAATGTGCAGAATAAAATGTACGATGTGATGTTATTTTTGTACATTTTATTCCGCACATTTCAATTTCACCTAATGCACAATTGAGTTTAATTTTTTATTCTGCACATTTCAGTATCATGTAATACACATTTCAGTTTCATCAAATGCACATTTCCGTTCCACATAATACAATCCAACGGTCCAAATTCGTTCTTATTTCTCTCATGGGAGTCCGTTCTTACCGGAACTGCTCTCTCTCTCTCTCTCTCTCTCTCTCTATATATATATATATATATATATATATATATATTACATACGTAGTATATATCAAACCACTAACTATATATATTACTAACTATATATATGAAAAAATATTTTCATATATATTTTTCTTTATTTTATTAATAAAATATATTTTAATTGTTTTTCATATATCAATAAAATTAGTCCGGTCCATCCACTTCAGCCATAACTTCATAAAACATGCTCATAGTATTTGAGGAGGTGATTTTCCCCTCTTTTTGAGACAATATTAATGACTAATGAGTAAATGGAGTTTAGAAATTCCAAAATATAATTACTATGTTTTTATTACCGAAATAGGACTAATATGAGAGTAGACTGCCAAATAATTACAATATTTATTGTAATTAATGATTGTATTTTTCAATCATAATGATTTGATAATGCCGGGATTACAATCGCAATTTATACCCTGCAACCGGCGCACCATGAGGATGGTGCGCCCGGTTGCAAAACGACACAACTTCAGTGGTAACAACTTTTTTTTATTGTTAAAAATTGTAATAACTTTTTTATTTGATATCCGATTTTTATAAATTTTATATCAATTTTTTTATTTTTCACGATCTATCAAATGAGACCAATATTGCTTATGTAATTTCAACAAATTATTTTGAAGTTACATTTGATAATATATCATGAAGTTACATCTTCTTCTGCGCGAGTTACATCTTATTGTACACGAATTACGTCTTAATATACGCGAGTTACATCTTAATGTATGTGAGTTACACCACGAAATAAACCCCTGCTACATCTTTCATTTTTATCATTTGAAAAATAGTGTATGAATATGAAATACAATATACTTATTTTATGTGGATTAATAAAATTTTGTATTAAATTGGCAAAGAAAAAAATTAATTCAGTTACAATTGAATTAGTTCAAGATAAAGATAAGTAAAAAATCACAAATAATTAGATATAACTCACATATAATTACATGTAATTCTCGCATAAAAGTATGTAACTCGTGTATAACAAGATGTAACTCACACATAACAAGATGTAACTCACACATAATTACATGTAACTTGTGCATAAAAGTATGTAACTCGTGTATAACAAGATGTAACTCACACATAACAAGATGTAACTCACACATGATAACTTGTAACTGGAGTATAAGATGATGTAACTTCGTATATTATCAAATGTAACTCTAAGCTAGAAGCAAAATAAACAAACTCAATATCTTAAAAAACCTCTAAGAACATATAAAAGTGAAAAAAAATATACTATAGAAAAAGTGTATGCATATAAAAATATATTATAAAAAAATGTATGAATGTAAAAAATTAAAATTACATAGACAATATTAATCACATTTGAAAGATCATGAAAAATAAAAAATTTTGATATAAATTTTATAAAAATCAAATCAAAAATAAAAAAATTATTAACAATTTTAAGAAAAAGAAATATAAAAATTAATAAAGGTGCATGGTGTTCACTGCACCGATTCCGGAGTATAACAAGTGGGTTACAATGGTTTACCTGTTGGCTGTTGGGCGGTATGAATGATAGATTAGATAAAAATTACCCCTGGGTAAAGGTCATTACCGGCATTACGGCGGGGAAATTGCCAGGTTATGCATCCCCAACCAGTGCGTTGCCATCCCTAGTCCTCGGGCACACTGAACAACTTGGAAATGTTGGGGAGATTACTTCGACGTGCTTCCATGCAACTCCATTCGTCGCTTGCGACTACTTCTGTTATACTTCAACGCTCTATATCTTCTCGTCCTATATCATCTTCGGAATTCACAAAGAGCACTTCTGTTGAACCCTTGGAGGGTGAAAGTATCACTCCTCCGGCGTCCGCCAAAATCTCCGTCGACCGCTCCGGCTTATACAATATTCCTGGTACTCTATTCCTTTTCATTTTCTTCTTTGTGATTTTAATCGCACGATTTCAACGGTCTGTGTTTGATTGCTCGTAAGTTGCAGAGCATTCTCATGAACCGTCGTCAGACTCTGAGCTGGTTAAGCATCTCAAGAGCATTATCAAGGTTTAACATTCTTTTCAATTTTCACCTCAATTTTTAGCTTGTGAATTCTTCGAAATAACATCTGGTGGTAAAATGCACTGCCAAAATGAATTTAATAACCTCTACAGATAAGACTCCATCTTGTTTCCTTCGTTAATAGTTTCATTTGTTAATAATTTGTTTCCGACCTTTCTGGGTTGGTGGATTTTTCAGTTCAGAGGCGGCCCGATCTCAGTTGCAGAGTATATGGAAGAAGTCTTGACTAACCCAAAGGCAGGGTTCTATATTAATCGTGATGTGTTTGGTGCAGAAGGTGATTTTATTACCTCCCCTGAAGTAAGCCAGATGTTTGGGGAGGTGGTTTTTCTTCTCTTTTATATTACTTCATACATTTTTTATTGAGGTACTGGTCCTTGGGCAGGAAAACCAAAAACCACGTATGTAAAAAGTTCTGCCTACCCTCGATTATAGCAAACATTCCATTAATGTGTCCTTGAGTGGCCAGTGTCCTCCCCTTTAGTTGCACTTAGATCCTGCGTTAATGCTACTCGTATTATATTTCCGACTAGCTCTGCCCCCCTCAGCAGGTTCCTATCGCTTTTCACAACATTTTGAAAAAGCAGACACCTTCAAATGTGCTTCAATATTAGAAATGTGCTTCAATATTAGAAATTGTTCTGATTACTCCACATTTTTTCTAGATGATTGGTGTTTGGGCAATGTGTCTATGGGAGCAAATGGGACAACCAGGAAAAGTAAATTTGGTTGAGCTTGGACCAGGCAGAGGAACTCTCATGGCTGATCTTCTACGGGTATATGGATATATGCAGTCAAAGATAATACCTTGGAAATATCGTTCCCCCATCGATCCCATAAAAGAGTCTTGTTTACCCAAGTTACAGGTTTTTAGATTTTGTAAAGATACAACTGTAGTAACTAGTAAGGTCTTACATGATACTTATACTGCAAAACTTTGTAATAGTTTAACTAAAAAATCATCATATTACAACTGTTTATTACTCTATCTCGGCAAATTACCTGAAAAGTGGTCTGTGATCCTCATTTGGTCAAACATGACCATTTCTTTGGGACAAAAGAAATTGTGAATCGTGACTCTTTTTATGGGACAAATGAAGCATTTTTATGGCATGATAGTGTATTTGGGAGGAATTACGACTTCCACGCCTTACAGGGTACATCAAAGTTTAAGAACTTCACGGAAGCGTTACATTTACACCTGGTTGAATGTAGTCCAGCCCTGCAGAAGCTTCAATACTGTGCCTTGAAGTGTCAAAGTAAAAATGATGTCGCTAGGAATGTAGAGGAACATATCACTAGCTCATTTACAGGAGCTCAAGTATCATGGCATGCTACAATCGAGCAGGTTCCAACTGGATGTAAGAAATTATTAATTATATTAGTAAAAACTTCATTACATTGATATGTAATATGTTATATGTATCCTACGAGTTACCAAACCAATCGAATCTTTTATCTTGCGTTATTGGAATATTCCTGATTCCTGAACATATATGTGCACATTTCTTTCTACATTGATATACTTCTCCTTTTACTGGCATTATTTAATCAAGGTATTGAAATTACATTCTATCATATATCTGAAACTTTTTTATACTTTTTCTTTTCATTCTTTTAAAAATTTCTATTTCTTTTCAAATTTGCAGCACCCACGATCATCATTGCCCATGAGTTTTATGATGCCTTACCTGTGCATCAATTTCAGGTTGTTATTGTAAGCTTTGACTGTTATGATTGGTTTGCATAATGTTGTCAACCGAAAAATAAAAATCAATGGGATAAACCGTTGCCCAGATAATCAATGATAAAAATACCGTTGCCCAGAGCCAAAAGGCTAAAATCCAGCTTTTTTCCAAGATGAGCCCGAATGAATCCTAACAAGGGGTTTAAATACCCATCTACTAATTCTCAAATTAGGAAACAAAATCCTAGAAATCCTAATCAACTCCAACTAGGAAACAAAATAATAGAGATCCTAATCAACTTTAAATAGGAAACAAATAATAGAAATCCTAATTAACTCCTAATAGGAAACAAATAATAGAAATCCTAATTAACTCCAAATAGGAAACAAATCAGGAAAATTAAAAATAATAAATAGTAATTAAGCAGCCCGCAACCAGCCCATGAAGGTGGGCTCAAGCACGTTCCCGCCTGCAGTAAACCGTCAGCCCCTTGGGTCTCGGACCCTCCTCTTCCACACAGCCCCCTGCTCTCCCTGCTCTCTATCAATCCATCCTCCTTCAAAATAACCTTGTCCTCAAGGTTGGAATTTGAAAACTGCTTCACACAGCTCTCTTTAATCCTAGGATCTGATTTAAATTGACTGTTTTCTCTTTCCTAGCGTAGAAGAGGCACTTCTTCAGCTCTTACACCAAAAAGGAAAAAATTATCTTCCCCAATTTCCTCCTTGAATTCCATATTAGCCCCGTCCAGTGTTCCTATTATTAGGCACCCATTCAGTGCAAAATTCATATTGCTATTCCCACTGGCCTCTAACAGTACACTTTTGAGGGGAATGAAGACCAATCAAGTGTACCCTTCCCATCATTCCTCTCCTTAAATATGTATATGGTATCCTGCAGTGACGCATCACTTAGCAAAAATTGTTGTTCAAGTCTTAAAAGTTTTCCACTTTCTGTTGCCTCATCGGGATCAAAGACAGCACAAATATGGTGAGCAGTAGAGTGAAACTGTGTAGCAGATTCATATTGACCACCGTTAACTTGAAATAAGTTTATGTCCTCTGCACTAGCTTTGGCCTGCCAAAGTCTAAGACTATTTGTGTTCTTTGTTTTATAGCCAGGAATTGGAACATCATATGCAACCGCCTGTATGACCTCCCCACCAATCCCTTTCCGGGAGCCATTGGGGTCAACAGGAAACACAGTGTCATACCTTGCAACTTCCCAGGGAATGAATTTCTCAAGCCAACCTTCAGTAACTTCCTCTTGTCCAGCTTCCGTAATATGTTGCTTGTGTAGTCCATACTTGTACAGTTGTACCTCAGTCCATAACCCCATGTTGGCGAATCTAGGGTTGCCATGGAATCAAGAAAGCAACAAGCAAGCCTTCCCAACCCACAACTTCCTAGTGCTGCATCTTTCTCCTGCTCAGCAATCTCCTTAAGTTTGCACGCAGATGCTGACACAGAATCCAGTGACGTGGCTGTTGATGAGTGCCCTTCTGCCGTCGGCGGCATAAAAGTCTGCATGAGCACAGTGAGCGCAGCCAAGGAGGCTGTGATCTCTGCCTGTTGAACTCCTTGCGCATCCAGTTTCTGGTTTAACAAGGCTAGTTTGGCCTCCACCACTGTCAAAAGCTCCATGTTCGATTTTTTCATTCCGGCAGGAACAGGATCCGGCAGGTCGGACCAATTGTTGTGAACCGAAAAATAAAAATCAACGGGTAAACCGTTGCCCAGATTATCAACGATAAAAATACTGTTGCCCAGAGCCAAAAGGCTAAAATCCAACTTTTTTCCAAGATGAGCCCGAATGAATCCTAACAAGGGGTTTAAATACCCATCTACTAATTCTCAAACTAGGAAACAAAATCCTAGAAATCCTAATCAACTCCAATTAGGAAACAAAATAATAGAGATCCTAATCAACTTCAAATAGGAAACAAATAATAGAAATCCTAATTAACTCCTAATAGGAAACAAATAATAGAAATCCTAATTAACTCCAAATAGGAAACAAATCAGGAAAATTAAAAATAATAATTATTAACTAAGCAGCCCGCAACCAGCCCACGAAGGTGGGCTCAAGCCCGTTCCCGCCTGCAGTAAACCGTCAGCCCCTTGGGTCTCGGACCCTCCTCTTCCACACAGCCCCCTGCTCTCCCTGCTCTCTATCACATAAACTGTTAGCAAAAAGCATGTTCACTTTCGTCCAATTGCTTGAAAATGTTCACTCATACAGTCATACTGAAACGATAAAAAAAGCAAGCTTGCTTTTCATCTTTTTCTTTTTTTATGGTGACGAAAGAAAGACACAGCTGCTTCCCTAGGGTGCGCACTGAGTAAACCCTGCATTGTCACCCTAGCCAGGAAAGAACCACAAGGAGGTCAACCAACCTAGGTTTCCCATAGCTACAAAGGCCAATAAGTGCTCCCGATAGGATTCAATCTTGTCCACCTTTGGTCTACAAGTTCACAGCCTCAACCAGTCCAAGTGGCCGCTTCTCAGTGTTCACTTTGAATGTATCGAATGTTCACATTTTGCATGCCATGGTACACCACAGTTAGATCCAAATTGTTCACCTTGCTTTAAAGCCAACACATTTTCTTAAATAGTACTCCATCAATGCCAACAAAGAGGACCATATTCATAATTTATTCAAGTTCAAAATAGAGGCCTGTGTCAACAAAAGAAGCTAATTTTCATGGAACTTAATGTTTTGTTAGAAGTTACTCCCTCCGTCCCGGTCATTTCTTCCAACTTTCCTTTTTGGACCGTCCCAATTAATTCTTCCAACTTCCACTTTTGGAAAAAATATGTGGTTTACATTCATTCACCTTTTTCTTACACAACTACAACCATACATTTCCACTTTATTCCCACTATCTAAATTTGCGAGCCAAGTCAAAACCGGAAGAAATGACAGGGACGGAGGCAGTATTTGTTACAGGCATGGGTAAGTGACCTTGTCCAAGATCGAGAACGGGTGGACTGGTTTGATCAAGAACATAGAGAGCCGATTTTCTCTCTATTTTTATTTAAAAATGAAGACAGGAATGAAATTAAAGAGGCTTAATGGAATTAACTTGATCTCTGACCTAGTCAAGAAATCCATGAACTAATTTTCTAAAAAACTGTTCATTAATTTAGTTGAGAATCCCATATATAGATATTATAGGGTTCCTAAAGTAAATGAAAAAGCTATATTGCTATTCTAATCGAACTGTAATAGAGGAAGACAATTCAAAATAGGATTAAGTAGTATTACCGATACTAATATGACTCTGACTGCTTGTTTGAGATGCAAGTCAGTCATATGAAACCTTGCACTTTTCTTTTTGGCTGATTCATTGTGCGTAAGCCGTAAGGTGTAACCTGCTAAATACTTCACCAGCTAGGGTGTGAGGCGGATTAATTCCAGAAACATTGCTGAATTTCATTCTCTTTCTCTGAGTTCTATCTATTCTTGGACTAGGTCTGGCACCTTCTATCTTAACAGAGTTTGTACCTTACCAAAGTTAAAAAACTGCATATTGATGAAAAAACTCTTTTGGAAGGACGGATTATAATAATTTCTTTCTTCAGTTTATGTTAAATGTCATAAAACCATTGGATGCCCTTTACTCGGGATTACATCTCCATGCTTTAAATGTTTCATCACATCTTAGAAGGAGATTTATGATGTAATAGATCTTAAACATTTTCGTGAAATTATTTGGTTTAAAGAAATGGCTGACCTGGTTTTCTTAAGACACAATATCTTGTTTATTATTCTTATTTGTCCTTGTTTTCATATCTGTATATAGAGAGCGTCTCATGGCTGGTGTGAGAAAATGGTAGACGTTGCTGATGATTCAAAGTAAGTTGTAACATTTCAGTAAGACTTCTACCTCCTTGTGTGAAAATTCAAATCTCTTTATGACATTTTCTATTTTATCTTTCTATTTCACAGGTTTCGTTTTGTATTATCTTCACAGCCTACCCCTTCAACTCTCTATCTCATGAAACGTTGCAAATGGGCCAACAAAGACGAAATATTGCAGCTTAAACAGATTGAGGTATGCCCTAAATCAATGGATCTGACTCGGACAGTTGCTGATAGAATAGGTTCAGATGGTGGAGGAGCTCTTATAATTGATTATGGCCTGAACGGAATAGTCACAGACAGCCTTCAGGTTTGTTAACCACTACTAACTAGTATTCAAATTTTCGAGCATTTTAGGATATTAAAATATGTACAGCCTTATCCTTTTGAGATTTTTTCCACAAAACAAGCTGCCAAGCTAGTTAAATTTTTATAAATTACAAGCTTATAGCTGATACTCACCCTGTCCTATATTAATTGTAATCTGACCAAAAATGAAATTTATCTCAAAATAAGTGTCTCTATAGGATTTCAATGCATTTTTTACTAAACTTCCAGGGCAGTCTGGTGCACATTAGCGTCTCGGCAAGGCGAGGTCCGGAGAGGATTGTATAGGGAGCAAGCCTCCCCGGCTCCCCTTGTCAATTTTTGACAAGAGGCTCCTAAGACTTGAACCCGTGACCCCTGTATCACACAACACTATGATTGGTGCCCCAAGAAGTTTTACTTAACTTCCAAGTTCCAGCAACATAAAATTCTTTTGAACCTTAAAGAAATTAAACACATTGATGTCAAAATTAATGTGTGCGCTTTTCTAAATCATCAACTATTTTGGAATTGAAAGAGTAGGTGATAGCCGAAAAACTCGCTGATCTAAATATTACTCTAGTCTTAGAAAAGTAGCTGCCAAGCTAGTTCAGGATTACAAAAAGTGACTCAAAAGCACATGTTTAAAATAGTTTTGAAATATAAAAGATGTTTTAAATGCAACCTATAAACGATAAGAGCATACATATTCAAGTTCATCAAATAGATTTTGGGTTGACATGATTTTTTTTCAAAAGAAGCGCAACAATTATATTAAAATTAAAGCTTTTAAAAAGAAAAAAGTAGTATTGTTCAGAAAATAGTAAGGAGGGTGAATGGATGGTAACAGGGTTATGTCGGAAAGTAGGAAGTTAATGGAATTAAATTAGGTCACTGTACATGATTATTTTCGGACAGACTAAAAATGATGTGTATGTAACAAAATGGGACTGATGGAGTATGTTTCTCCAACCAAATGGAGCTTATCAGAAAAACATATATAAAACAAAAATCTAATATCTTGCATATATCCGTATTTTCTATCTCATTACTCTAACCTCCATGCAGGCTATCAGGAAACATGAGTTTGTTAACATTCTAGATAGCCCTGGAACAGCTGATCTGAGTGCTTATGTTGATTTTCCTGCAATTAAACATTCTGCTGAAGAGGCTTCTGGTACATTTTCTCTCTCAATATCGACATATCCTTTCAATGATGAGTTGATGACCCAAAATGAACCATTGTTGTTGAATACCATCCATTACTGTTACGGACTATGCTGCTTTGAATATACCCTTTCCTCAATATGTGTGTGCTTCAGCTGATAGGCTTGGATGTTATTGTTCCGGTCATTTGCACTTATGTAAATTATTTTAAATACTATTAACGCTTTTTGCCACAAGGCAAATGTGTTTCAGCTAACATGAATCGATCAATGATATCAGAGCCAAAAACAGAAGAAAGATAAAATAAATACAAAGATAAAGTAAGATAAAATGGATATGATAAAGATAAATATAAGAAAAAAATAACATAAGAACATCAAAAGATAAAAGCTAAAAAGATAAAAGAACATAACAAAGATAAAAGATGAAAATAAGTAAATAACATAAGAACATAGAAAGATAAAGAAGAAAAAATATAAAAGAAAGAGAGAGAAAAGAGATCAATTGTCCACATGAATATGTGCCCTCCACTTTGCTCTCTCCAAAGTCATACTCTCATCCAACATAAGAATAAGCATATCAGTTCTGATTCTTCTAATCCAAGTCTGTTTAGGTCTTTCTCTCCCTCTACTCCTCGCCTCTTCTCCCCACTTCTCAAGTCGTTTAACAAGTGTATCATTCGGTCTTCTACGCACATGACCAAATCACCGCGATAGAGACTCCTGCATCTTATCTTCTATAGGTGATACTCTCACCTTTTGTCTGATTATCTCATTCCTCAAGCAGATTTTTCTGGTATGTCCACACATCCAACGCAACATACACATCTCTTCTACACTCATCTTTTGAATGTGAAATTATTTCACCGCTCAACACTCTATGCCAAACATTAATGCGGGCCTAATTGGTGTCCTATAAAATGTACCCTTCAGTCTAATTGACATACCTCGATCACATAGAAATCTTGATGCACTCTACAATGTCATCCACCCCTGCTTTGATTCTATGAGATACATCCCCATCCAATTCACCATCCTTCTGAATTATGGTGCCCAAGTAACGGAACATATCACGCATCGATATATCTTTGTCACCGAAGGTAATCTCAGTGTTACTACCACTTCTACCTCCATCCTACTTGCACTCCATATACCCAGTCTTGTTTCGGCTTAGTCTGAAACCCTTGGTCTCCAATGGTTGTCATCATACTTCCAACATTGCTTAAACACCCGATTGTGACTCATCAATCAACAATATCGTTGGCAAACATCATGCACCATGATATATCTTCTTGAATTGACTTTGTATGTTCATCTATGATCATAGCAAATAAGAAAGGACTCAAACTCGATCCTTGGTGCAATCCGATAGTAATAGGGAACTCTGCAGTCCTGCCTACACTGGTATGAACACACGTAGTACAAGCCTCATACATATCTATGATGATACTGATATACTTACGTGATATGCCTTTTCTAGTTTAGGCCCACCATAGGACTTCTCGAGGTATCCAGTCGTATGCCTTTTCTAACTCAATGAACACCAAATGTAGATCCTTTTTAGTGTCTCTATACTTCTCCGCAACATGTCTAAGAAGGTGAATGGCCTCAGTTGGCGTCCAAGCATAAAACCAAACTAATTCTCCAAAATTTTGATAGGACAATGGGCAGAACATATTATCATAATAATGATAATAAAAATAAAATTACACTAACTAATTGTGAGTGTGTAATATTAAGGGTTCTGGGCCATGTAAGTCTTGAGTTGGGCTGACCCTTTTGTATTTTAAGAACGGGAGGGAGGAAAGGAGGAAGTTAGGCAGAAATTCAGGAATTAGGATGGGAGAGTGAGGCCTCTCGAAGAGTCTCGATATGTTTCTTCTCTTTCTATTCTCTTGTACGCTTGTTTACTGTTTCCTCCACTGTCGTTTGCTAGAGGAATTTACTGAGCTTATCTGGATTTTTGGTGTTCTCTATCATTGGTATCAGAGCTGTCGGCCCCGGGAAACATAGATCGACATTCACAACATAAGAAATGGAGCAGTGCAGAGAACATCAACGGCCAGAACACAAGATGGCCGCCTCTTATTTTCGCGCAAACATAGAGAAGCGCATGTCTACCCAAGGGGGGAAGAAACCGCACATGCAGCATCAAAGCTCCGATCAGGATGCCTCACGCGGAAACATGGAGAAGCGCGCGAAGAGTAAAGAGAAGGTAGAAAGTGATTGGGTGAAGGAGATGAGGATCTGGTTGGACAAGATGCGGCAACGTCGCTGGCGAGGATGATTGAAGACCGTGTGATGCTGCTGAAATTCAGAAAGCAAAGCAGCATCGCCATCTCAAACAGCTTCTACTAGTTCGCAGGTTTCCTCACCAACATCTTCTTCCCGTTTGCAATCTTCTCCGCATGCCGTGTCTCCAAGTTCACAAACTTCATCATACACTAGCAGTTCACTTCAAGGTACGATGCGAACAGAAGGAGAAGCTTCCAGTTCGCTGTTGTTGTTTGAGTCACGGCAATCCACAGGAACCTATCTCTGAAGATAGGTTTATCGATGGTGATGAGGGACGAGAGGAGAAATCTTCTGTGGTGACTCAATCCTCGATTGTCATGGAATATGAATCTGCCGTTGATAAAATTGCTGGCTCAAATACTTGGGAAAGCTCTACAGGGACTGTCCGTATAGAGGAAACTGAGGAAATAGAAGAGGAGAATGATGGAAAGAAACTTCAGGGAATCATCAGCTCATACACTGATGGTACTGAGAGACTAATCAAAACTAAGATGGATAATGACGATTGAAAAGCATGGTTACGTTGTTCGGTTCTACAATGGCATGCAAGGTTTTAAGCCTGAGTTTGGATTAGATCCGAGCTCTAAATTAAACTCAAGTTATCATGTTGCACCAAAGAGGAAGTTACCTGGGCATCTTACTGGTATGAAGAAATTCTTGTATATTTTCTGGTGCATTGGAGGTTGGTGCGACTACATTAAGTAACGAGGTTAAGAATTCAGGAAATATCATTCTTCTTATTGATGAGGTCCCTCGTCTAAGTGGTTCTGGAACGGACACTGATGGGAGAGGAAGTAAGGGGTCTCCCATTGCTAATCTGTTAAAGACTTGAGAGTCATCGCTTGTGTTTCAGCCTATAATGATCAATGAACTGAACCAGGAGTATGCTGCCCAGATACCACAACGGCTGCGTGAGAAATATGAGTCTCAACATAAGTCTAGATTCATTCTTGAAAGATATCTTCTAAACAAAAGCATTGGTCCTATTGATGTGGCTGGGAGCAGATCCAGAATGGTAGCTCATAAAAGGAAAAAGTGACAACTTACTTCCATACTTACAAAATCACTAAGTGAATACTGGCATTCAGGCAAGAAGTTATATCTGTTCGGAATATGCATGCAATGATTCTGAAAAATAAACTCGGCAAAAATAAGTATGAATCTCACTTGGAAGGGAATGTAAAGTCCAAACTGAACATTCAATAAATTCAGCATCTAGAGATGATGAATCTTGTGTGGTTAGACATGAGGAAAGAGCTTCCGTAGTTTCATTTTGGTTGGGCAATTCCCGTCAACAATTCCCGTCAACAGCTGAGGGTTGATGAGAGAATAATTCTCATGAGTCACATTGCTGCTATGCCCTTCTGTGGTCCTACTGGAGTTGGCAAACATGAACTTGCTAAAGCATTGGCAGCAACTTATTTTGGTAAATTGAGGCTTGAGCAGTTAGTGATTGAGAGAGTTCAGTTCCAAGCTCCAACTGTTGCAAGAGGAGGTGAATGATCTTGGTTCTTTATATAGGTTGAATATTGGGTTGGAGGTCGCTCTTGAAGTTCAGTCAATGATCCGGGTGTTGGAAACTTGTGCTGAGAACACAAATTTCTATTCATTAATCATGTATCGGGACCTGCTGGTGTTAACAACACTTCCTAATGCTTGGTAAACGATTTTACCTATGCTGTCTAGAGGTGGACTTCTAATGATTTGTCTTCTGGTTTGAGCTCTTGGTCCTATTCAAGTGAAGGGAATGCTACATCTAATAACATTGGAGGTGAGTGGGGAAGCTCTACTTCAATATCTGATCAGCAGACTGCCCCCTTACACAATAGTTCTCAATGTAGTTATCATGTTGTGAGGCCCTTACAGCTTGACAAGTGGTTGAAAGGGAAAGATGGGTTCCTTGTAACTGATCTTTGGGGAGCAGTAGTTGCTGCCCCAACTGTTTGGATTAAGCAGACAGAAGAAAGGGCATATATTTGTGCTTATCAGCATAAGAGCCTTAATATTGTGCTTCTCATTCCCTCTATATTAGTGTTCAAAGAGGAGCAAGGGGTTTCCGTGATGAAGCAATTTTTTTTAGAACAACCATTAGTTCAGGACTACTCAATGGCACTGACCAAGTTCCAGGAAGAGGTTGAGAGACAAATCAAAGTGCGAGGGTCCAAGCAATCAAGCATGGGAAAAGATGAGGAAATATGGCTGATAGTTGATAAGCAATCAAGGAAGGAAGAGGTGCCAGGTTGAAGCTGATTTCTAGGGCTATTTGTTGGGGTGTAGGCTTCAGCCCATTTAGATCTGGGAGCCAAATAAGCAGTGAGCAGCAGCTAGAAGTGCAGCTAGCCGTAGCTAGATGTGCAGCCAGTCATAGTTGGGCCTGTTTTTGGGGTGGCAGTCAAGCCCAGAGTTTAACTAAAAGTTTACCCTAATTGTTTGCCTATATATACTGCCTCTTGTACTTGTAAACGACTGTACTGTATTTTCATCACCTCAATAACAAAGAAAACCCTAGTTACCCCCGTGGATTAGGCCAGTAACATTTACTGGCTGAACCATGTTAAATTCGTTTGCCGTTCTTGTTTTATTTTTCTTTCTACTATTGTTCAGATCCGTGTGTGAGAGCTAGAGATACTAACCCTAACAATTGGTATCAGAGCGCAAGCTCGTTTGGTTACACTCTAGCAGAAACCCTAACTGCTGAAACCCTAGCCATCCACCC